AGCGACTCCGATGGTGGTTCTTCATCCCTCACTCACGAAATTCCGTCTGTGCCAGAAGAACACTATGCTGAGCTCCCTCAGTCGCTTGATACTGGCGATGTACCGGAGGTTACTTTTTCGGACGAAGAAGAAGAAGGTTATGATGAGTCGGCCCTCTTAGATGAATTATACACCGAGATGGCAGCTATCGACGGACTACGAGGTCTTGATGATGACGAGATCGATTTTTTCTGGGATTGGTCGGTAACAAAGGGTGAAGAGCCGGAGGAATTCGAGGAAGAGGATTTGCCAGTGATCCCGGACGAACACGACGGGAATGAAGACAACAAGCCAGAGTCAGAGTCAGGAAGTGACGCCAGTGGAAACGAAGAAGAAGAGGAAGAGATGCAAGTCGAGATGCTTCCCTCTCTCCACAAGTGTCAGTGGATGTTCGGTGTTGCATGTGACGCGACACCCTTATCTTGCAACTACCCGATTCAATTTCTCGAAGATATCCAAGTCCACGCGGATCGGCATGCGAGGAACTATATCAGGACAGAAGAAGAGAAGTGGGCTTCGCGAAAGGAAGGGACAGAGGGAGGGAACGAAACATTTGTTGGAGTGGTCCGATGTCAGTGGCGCGGATGCCGCGCTGAAATGGCTCTAAAGGAGTATATTGAACATTATAACAGGGTACACTTGGATATATGGTAAATCTGGCAGGGCTGAGGAAGTTGGAGCGGTGGTACCTACGGTTATTCATATTTAGCACATGTCCTTTGCTTCATTTTCGTGCATATGTAGCAGTATCTTCGTATTATGTATCAATCTATTAGTATGCAATCATTGATGTAAATGGTGGTAAGACTCGCTTTGACAGATCCCAGTTTGGCAAGAATATACCATTACTACCGATCGAGAATTGCTGCCACTTAGAATTCAACTTTCGGAGAGTTTCCCGAGACGCATTCCACGTACATCAGATGCGTCTTCCGACGATGCGGTCTTCGACGGGGAGGTAGTGGTAGTGGAGGAGAGCGAAAGACAAATGAAAGTGGTACAGATTCAGAGGATGACACATAGACAGTGACGAGTCCTAGTCATCTGATCAATCCAAACTTCTGCCGTACCACCATGAGGTCTATGAGACAGCGTCCAGAGTCACGACAACAACCCTTACCGTCTTCTTCGCCGCCACTACACCAGTCCGTCCAACTTCCACACCGTTGACACGAGTCCAAACGAGATACCGAAGATCCACGGCTTCAATCACACCGACTACATCTTCGTCCTCTGTAGCCTCTCGCAGCGGTTCGGTTCATTCACAGGTACAGGACCTGCAAGCTCAGAATGCAGAATTACTATGGCAGATCGCACAAGCTAATATCAACGTGACTTGGCGACCGTACATGCCATCCTTGCTGCCTTGCTGTCCAAGAGGTTGCAGTGTTGAAAGCCCGGCTGCAGACACAGGAGAACAAGAAAAAAAGGTTTGAGACGCTTCCCAGCAGTGGAAGAGGCAGCGAAGAGGAGTACAAAGAAGAAAGAAGTGGAGGAGAGGCGTAGGAAAAAGAAGGATACCGAAAGAGAGCAGCAGAGCCAGTTGTCACTGTCATTCACACGCACTCTCAAGGCGAATCGAAACGCGACATAGCTGACATCGCTTTTGCGCTCGGTGTTGACAGTGAAGGAGCCAATGCTGACGCACTTTGTGTGCGGCTCAAGCGCTCAGCGCTCAGTGCTCATTTCAACACCAACCCTCATCTCAAATCTGAGATCTGAAACTCGGTACGTTGGTCTGTTTACGACGACGCGAAAACTTAGACAGACCGAAGTTGACGATGAACGTTCTAAACGTTGAAGCTAAGCTTAAATAGCTTTGAAGCCCGAAGGAGAACGATAATCCACGTCCTTCTCAACGCCACGCCTTCTCCAATGCCACACTTTCCTCATTCCTCTCAACCCTCGTCATATCCGTACACTTCCGCCGATGAATCAGCCTCTTCGCCATCTTCAAACTCCAATGGCTCCTCCTCAGGCTCGTACTCTTCACTCTGTAGCAGAGAAATAGAATATATTTGATATTTGTCGATGTGTGACTGAAAGTCTCCCTCCTTGTCAGGACATTCAGCAGAGCCCGCGCCAAAACTCGTCAGTTTGTTTGGCCATCCTGGACTGTAGGATCTACCCGATCGCATGACGGCCAAGAGTCAATAAATGGGTCAAAAAAGATAGTCAGATTCGTAGCGATCATAGATACATAGGATACATAGTAGTCATAATCATAATACATAACCATAAATAGGCGTGTCCGAGTCGTTCTAGTCCTCTAGTCCTACAATCAAAACAAAACCGAAGGAGGCATCTCCTGCAAAAGTATATGATCTACCCCGTCTCCAGATACACGCCCAACGAGGAACACCGGTGACGACACATCCTGTTCTTGAAGTTTGCCAGGTGGTTTCGACGGTTTCGACTGCAAAACAAGTGCAACTTCACGTTCATCAGGAACCTCGTCCTCGCCCAAAATCCATATCCGAGGTTTAGAATTGAGCATCGCTGTCGTAAAGTCGATCCCCACGTATATTGGTTTTCGAAGTGGCGTTAGAGGTCGTGTCGCAGTGGGACGCATAGAGGGATTTGATATCCCCTTTGTAGAGTTGGGCGTCTAAGGCAATCCTGTCGTAGATATATGACCGCTCGAGGCTTGACTCGATGGGGGGTGGTGGGATTCCATCTACGTATCAACGACGGTAAGTTGTGGAATAAGAGTTTGAAGCGAGGGGTGGCTTACCAAGTAGCTGTATCGAAAACTTTTTACAGGCCTCCGCATGTCCGTCCATCCAGTCTGCCTTTTGACATTCTCGAGAGCAATAACATGGGATAGAGCATTGAGCGCATCGCTTGTATCGGGTTCGAGGATCTGCAAGGTCGGAGAATAGGTGGTCCTGGTTTGAGCACTGAAAACAGAAGAGAGAGAACGATTCAGCGTGAAGAAAAGATTTACGAGAAAGCATTATCGCAGAACTAACCTTTTTGTTGGAGCACACAATCTGCGACCTTTCCGTACGCCGACCGGCATAATAGAGGGCCCGGGCTTTCTCCTCAAACGCAATCTTAACTTTGAGCGCTTCCCAAACCTCCAACACCCTGCCCCTGTCGTCCAATTTGCTAGACTCAGAGTAGCCACCGTCACCGATGTCCCGAAGTGGCCCATCAAGCTTGAGAGCCTTGATCCGCTGCAGCGACTTGGACAGCCTCAAACTGACTCCGCGATAAACAGCAAGCCTCGCCAACACGTGAAGCAAAGTGACCACAGGAGTGAAATCCCACCGAGTTGACCGGGCTCCAGCAAGTGCAGAAACTTGGCCACGGAAACTAAAAGACCTTGATCGAGAGCTTTCATAGCCCAATACGGGCTCTTGAGGAAAGATAGAGTCAGATACGACGAAAAACACCCGATGCAGAAGAGTCGCTGCAGGTTGCTGGCCCTCGGTGCAATCTGACGAGCCCGGGCGCTCGGGGTGAGCCGACGTAATACATCGCAGGCGAGCGCAATGCCTCCGTGGGCAAGGGATAGTTGCAAAGGGTTGCAATCCTCGGTATGCGTTGATGGGTTATCATGGAAGTATAGCAAGGAGTGCATCCCGTTCGAGATATCGTCTAAACGCGTGTCAAGGTTCGTTAGTGAGGAAATGGTGCCGACGAGGAAGTGCGTGAGTTCTTTGTCGGATGCCTGGAGTGTGGCCTTCAAAGAGTGGAAGATCAAGTCGATGGTAGCGGGCGTAGTGTCCATAGATCGAGTAATAAGCGAAAACAGGATTTCAGCACCGAGACGCGCAAAGGGGGCTTGTATTAGCTGAACAGACGACCAGGCGCGTATGAGCAGCTTGGTCAGATTTTCGTGGAACCACTGGTTCAGTGGCATTATTCGACCGCCAGTCTGAGCCGTCGTAGCCGGTGCGATGCTTACGATAGCATCAAGCAGCATAAAGGCTGAGAACGCGATGTCGTGCGTTCCGGCCATATCGGGTTTGAAGAAGATTGTGTTGGAATCGCAGAAGGGTTGGAGGGTAAGCCGAGTTTGCATACGAGTTTGGGATGGTCGGCTGTGGCGGTGAGAAAGGCGGAGATCCAGCGAGAGTAGGCCGGCCAGAGGGGCTGTATTTTGGACAGTAGATGTGCGGGCTCTGTAGTTTCGAAGAGCCAGAGAGCCAGGTTGATGAGGCCGTGTGCGACAGCTGTTGCGGCGGGAGACGAGAGGCATTGGGCAGGGGAAGGGGGAGGATTTGATAGTTGGATATGGAGAAGCGCAAGACGGTTGTCGCAGTACGGATATCTGGGAATCGGGTTTGACATGGCTGTGAAGCTGGGATTGAGTGAGCGGGAGATGGGACTTGGGCTGAAAACGATGGAGATGGGTATTTGCGCTTCATTTTCTTGACTTTTATGCGATGTTCGGAGTCGGCTTTGACCATGTCGAAGAAGGTCAAAGTTGGACCATTCGTCGGTCGAAGTATTGTTCAAGAGGAATTGATATTGATGGTCCAAGCTGGGTCCAAGCTGGTCCAAGTGTCAAGAGAGTCATTCAGTGGTCCGTTTTGTCCATTTGTGGCCCAAGCATTTCTGAGAGAAAATCATTTATGGCATATGAAGACGAGCTGAAATAACATTACCGATAGTATCGTTTCCGGAGATCAAGCTAGCATCGTCTTGAAACTTGATCGATGAGGGTCAATGATGGTTGGATCGATGGCGCCCAACGTCAACGTCGCACTTTGAACGCTGGAAAAGGCCGCTCGATGTCGAGGATGTAGGGCGTAGTAGTAGAGGACAAATTCCAGTCTCGTTCTGAATCTTCCAATATCCTAATATTTGATTTCGTATCAGACCTTTCATGGCTGATTTGTCGTGGCTCTAGAGAGAAATACGAAGAGCTGAGATGTATAAAGTTAAAGAGTCGACGTTGCTGTCTGAAGGTTCATTTTTGTCAATTAGATTTGCCGGAGATCAAAAACAATAGCAGCATGGCGCAGTGGTAGCGCGCGGGGCCCATATCCCAGTATTGGTCAAGGTTACCCCGAGGTCACTTGATCGAAACAAGTTGCTGCTATACGCAGTATCATATACAATATTAATAAGTTTTTTTCTACCTTACATTTAAGGCTGTCCTGTAAAAATGTAGGATATTGTACAGCATGTTTAATCCAGCCGCAGTGATCCCCTTGCCTACGATATTGCGCTTTCCACCCAGATGAATATGTTTTCGCAGTTATGATGTGACAATGTTGGAAATGGAATGGCCCTGAAGAATTTGGAGACTCGAAGCTGAGCAAAGTACTGACTTATTATTTTCGATTTTGATTGCCAATCCCCGTCGAATAACTGACCTGTTGATAGCAATGTTTATGTATGTAGTTTTTATATATCGTATCAAGTTAGCCCTGGTGATTGATTGATCCCTCGAAGTATCAATGCTCACTTAGTTGAAGGCACTTCCAGTGATTTACCAAACGGCCGAGTGATAGGGGGTGGCTGAGGAACTCTCGACTCCTGGTCGCAACTCATCAACACAATGGCAATGGCCATCGCCACTGGTTTCAATCTGTTTCAATCTGTATCAATACTCACTTGAAGACACTTCTAGTGACTGGTTTACCAAACGGCCGAGTGATAGGAGGTGATAGGGGGTGGCCAAATAGCTCAGAGTAACACTCTCGACTCCTATCGACTCCTGGTCACAGCTCACGACGCAATGGCAATGATCGATCGCCCAATGTTCCCAATCCCCCTGGCTCCACATTCCCGGACATCCCTATTTCGTGGGCGGATGCCTTTGACACAAACCACTTGGTGGTGGGACCCGGTAGGAGTCAACGATCTGCGAAGGCAAGAGCTCGTTTCGACTTCCCATACTCAAACGAGAGTGATTCAGACCATAGCCTCTTTCTAACACTGCACCTCACTGCACGCGGAAGATCACTGTCAATAAGTTGAATCACGTCCCAACTTTGAAACGCGAATGCATCATGTGCACAAACTTTGACCTCTCCTCTCAGCCTTGGTTTCAAGTTTGAATTACCATTTTGTTTGTCCAGATATAAAAATGCCTTAGGTTTTCCTAGTTTCCCCAGCAGAGCTGGTCTCTTCCCAACACACACTCATATCGTGCAGGACATTTCCACTTGTTTCCACATAGATCTTTCAGTTCATCTAAAAACAACCTTACTATCTACAATGGTTTACTCTCGATCTATTGTTGTTGCTCTCCTCGCCGCAGGAACTCTCTCTTCTGTTCTTGCTGCAGCTGTTACTTCCGGCATCTCGCCACGAGAACCTGCTGATTCACTGATCGACATCTCATCGCGAGAACTTGAAAGGAGAAGCCACGAATTCAACCATCACCACCACCACCACCATGATGCTCACTTCCACCACTTGGAAGAGGCCAGAGAACGCGTTCACCACGCCAGGGAGCGTCTCCGCTCTGCTAAGAAGCATCTTCACCACCTTTTCCTCAAGGAGGCAGAAGGCGAGTTCGTTTCTGTAAGTTTGCTTATTACATTTGGTAGTTTCTTCTCGCTCATTTTGATCAAAGGACCATCGTTTGAACGCGGCCGAGCACCGTCTTCGCGCGGCCAAACATCGTCTACACCATGCCGAGAAAGAGCTCGAGGAAGCAAAGACGACGAATTCGAGTTTGATTTAGAAGAGGTCAAAGCGCGAGTCCACTTTGCCAAAGAACGACTGCGTGAAGCTGAGAAGGATCTTACTCACGATCTGATTGCGGAAGCTGTGAGTCGGTCATTTCGTTATTGTCTTCTTCTGTACTAACCGTTGATTTTTAGCAACCTCATATTGAGAGGAGGGACTCTCACTTTACTGCCGGATTGACTGCCTTGGCTGGATACGAATTCGGAAAACACGAGGGACGAAAAGGGGAGGAGAACAACCACAGTTCGGATCCTAGTGCCGGTACTGACTAGTACCAGCGATACTTACTAACTAGAACTGTTGGTACTCAACATCGCGTTTTCGAAGGCGAACAGATATCGTTGTGTTTTTCCAGGTGATATCGGTAGATTTTTGGTGTCTGTAGATATTAGAAATAGGATGGATTCCACGATTTGCATCAGAATGGGAAAAAATACTTAAAGCAACACCATAATCCATTGAACATTCATTTACGTTCAGTCCAAATCATCTCACAAGATCACTATCTTTTTACTTAAAAGTTTACAGGCAGTCAACCATTACCACATATACACAACCTTGTATGAGCCCACCCTGACTCTCCCACAACTTGCCCACAACATACTTGAGCTCAGCTTTTCACCATTTCTCATGAGCGGGGCGTACTTTCAAGAAAGAGATTAGCTGTTCAAGCACCTAATATCAAGCAAAATAGAGTACTCACGATCCAGTTCCCAGGTCCAAGCGGAGCGATCTTGCTTTGCGAGATAAATATATGACTGTAAAGGGCTGAGTGTCAGTATAATGTACATACATCGAATAAGAGTCATGTAATTACCGCAGCTATACCCTCTGGATTCAACCGAACATCTTCATTCTTCTCCCATTCTGGGTCATTTCGACGGGAGCGAGAGAGTGGGGTACTTATACCTGGATACATAACATTCAATTCAAAATGTCGCAGACCATCAAACCACATAGCGAACCTCCGTCAATAACAGCCTGCAAAAAATTCATCGTAAGGACTTGGCGTATTCGCAGATGAGAGAGAGAAATCTCACATGCGCGACATGGATATTTTGCTTCCCAAATTCCTTTGCCAAACTTTGGCTCAACGCCCTCATCGCGAACTTCCCTGCTGCGAATGCACTGGTGGTCGTATTACCTCTGATGCTGGCTGTTGCTCCTGTGAATATCAATATCCCGCGTTTTCCAGTCGTCTGATCGATCTCGTTCTTGGTAAAGTCAGTGATGACTTCATGAGCAAATGCAAAGGCGCCTTCGACATGGACTTCGGTGGAGCCTTTGACTTCCTCTGGAGTAATGCTGAGGAAATCCCGCCACACGCCATATGCGGAATTATAGATTGCAGCGCGGAGATTGTACTCGGGTGAGGGGTAACGAGTGCGAATGGATTTGAAGGCGGTTTGGATCGAGCTATATTCGTATGAGGGGATGGCAAATGAGGCAACCTGATGTGGTCGGTGAGCACTAGAGAGCAGAGAGTATGTACCATCGCGACGTACTTCAGCGCCAGAGGCCTTTAACTCGTCCTCCAATGACTTGAGGCCACTGGCTCCGCGCGCGATAAGCGCGACACTGTAACCTTCCTTCGCAAACGCACGACTACATGAAGTTCAGCGAGGTGGATACCAATAGGAAATCAGTATGACGTACGCAGAAGCTCCTCCGGTACCTTGCCCTGCACCAATACCTAGAATGTTATAAATGCGTAAGATTTTATCGGATAAAGCGCGCAAAAGACTTGCCAGCGATAACGACAACAGGTTTAAAAGATGGCATAGCTGTCGAAGGGTAAATGAGTTGTCGTGTGTAAGAACTGTTCAGATTTTAAACTAAGTGAATTCGGTCAAGTGACGCAATTTCTCAGCTTGCGTTGTAATCATACTATCTTGCGTTGTAATCAGCATCTTGCTAAGCACTCGCCAGTCAAGTACAAGTACAAGTACGGTATCAGTAATGGATCCCGAGGTATTACAGAGCCATGTCACAAAAGTTGCAATGATTTGACTAGCGATTGCAAACCGATACATGATTACCAACTCTCATTTGCAGGACGTTCTGTGATTCAACTAGTGCGTTTTGTGCGAGTCCGAAGCTGGGTAGGTAATCACGATCCAACTCCCAAGTCCAGGCCAACCGCTCCTGCTTGACAAGGTTCAGATATGGCTGAACATCTTCAGCAGTCAGATAGTGCCAATCTTTTTCTATCTCACCTTGGCAATACTTTTGGGCTTCAAACCGAGTTATTCTGAATCGTCCCGCTGGATTCCTGGACCATCTCTTTCGATTCCTACAAGGATCTTCGCGTCAGAAGGAGATAAGGGTAGAGACACTCATCAGGTACGCGCATGTGCAATCTGTGTTGAACTCGGCAATATTCTCGAACGACAATCGTCAAAGCTTACACGAATCCCATCCTTTCCAAATTCCTTGGCCAAACTTTGGCTCGATGCTCCGTTAGCAGACTTTGCCTCAGATGCCCTCACAAACGTAACGTATCGTGCCTGTAAAGATTAGGATGCCCTTCCTTCCCGTCTCCAAGTCAACTGAATTACTTTGGAATTGCAGTCAACATTCTCGGGAAAACACGAACGCTTCCGCGGTGTTGAGGATGAGAGATTGATTTACTTCTTCTGGCGTTGTCGAGAGAAAGGGTTTTAAGACAGCAAAGCTAAATTGCTGCTCCGATTCCACCTCCTGCTTCAGAAGGCCATATGGTATCCATAGCATCTTTGAAATCTTTGAAGTCTATATGGCTTGGCAGAAAATGGCGCGACCTGTACACGTCAGTGAAGCATTACAAAAAAGTAAACGAATTCTCACTTGCCTCTACTCCAGAGTGCGAAGATCCTGCGCAGTCCTCATGAGCATACTTTCCTCCAGATACGAGCGCGATATTATATCCAGATTTTGTGAATAATTGGCTGAAATTCAACGAATGAGTAGGAAGGGTATGATGAGTTTCATGATTGGGTAGTTACTAGACGAAAGTGCTCAAGCGCTCATACACGTGGGAGCGCTTATCACATTTATCGTCTAACAAATCTAGTAACAACTCATTTCGATTCAAGATCGTTACAGGATCGTTCTCAAGGTGAGTTGTGACGTTATTATATACTGTGGACCCCTCTGAACTTTGAATTTGGCTTGCGAAGAGCTCTAGGTACATCTTTCTCTCGTTGTTTTCTCCTGTTTCTGATTTAAAAAAGTGAACTTGCCACCAACTTGCCACAGACATCCATAAATGATTACTACCTTCGTAGTGTCTATCAATATTCTTCGCCTTCAGCAACCATCATCGTTCATCCAGGATGGAAAATAATTCTGATACTGGTTCTTTCGAAGGCTTTACTCATATCAGCTTTATCGCAGAAGGTGGCTACGGTGAGTTAATTC